AGCCAGCGGGTGTGATTCCATGAAATGTGGAGGGGTCAGGGAGTAAATCGTAGAGCCGATCCTTTGCTAACATCATGGTGAGCCCCGTCTCTCTACTATGAAACTTATCAAAAAAGATACCTAGTGAGCCGGGTTCTGGTATTAAATGTAGGATAGTGCTTGAGCTGTCGTTGGTTTCGATGACTCACAGCTTTGCAGAGAGGCAGGAGGAGTGTCGGAAAATGTGGCCAGAGTTGCAGGTGAGCGGCAGTAGAAAGCGCGCGTTGTGAATTCGTCCCAGCTACTAACCTAGTGAGGCTGTAGGCAGCGGTAAGAGCCAGAATTCAAGGCCAGCCTGTGCCATTTCAAATGCCCCACATGTTAGCCAAGCTAAACAGTAAGCACCTGGGCTTTCTCTGGGTCAGCCACTTGCTGTGTAGGTAAGAGGGAGACTGAGTCCGAGCAAACCTGGGACGGAGGGTCAGGCCTGGCAGGGCTCCACTTCAATTCATGTCCACCTTCCTTGCTGCTTACCCCATGGCTTTCAGGAAATCGGGTCTGCCCCTGAGCCTCTGTTGGTCTCTCTGGATCTCAGTTTCCTGGATGGGGCTGGAGGATCTCTCATCCCAGGAAGGACCTTCCAGCCTTAAAACCTGAGGACTCCTTGAGTCAGGGCATAGGGTGCAGTGGGGTGGCAGTGGGTGTGGGATAGCTTCTGCGTCAGCTTGGGCTCTGAGTTTGTTTGTTTTTGAGGAAGGCAAGAGAAGCATGAGTCTTGTTTTTTTTAAAAAAAAAAATCCAACTGTAAGCATCATAAAAACTAAAATGCTATTTCGGAGTTGGAGACCATCATCTTTCAAACCTCCTTTATCAAACCCTGGACCTGGGGAGCCAAGGCTGGAAGGCTGTCCCAGGACAGGAGTGGGGGAGGGGAGGGCCGAGGGTCCATCCCTGGATGCGCCTTTTCTGCCATCTATCGGCCATCCTTGGAGTAGCAGGGCTCAGCCCAGAAGGCTGGGCAACCCCAAGGGAAATGAAGGTCCCTGGAGATTCTGGTACTCCTGCAGTGGTTAGGGTGGAGAGAAGTGCCCTGGCTGATTAACTGGTAGCTAAACAGGTACAAAATTCCCCTCAAAGGGCTTTATTTCAATGTCAAATTTGCCTTGGTTTTCTCATCTGTAAAATGGGAATAAGAATACCTACCCTCAATGTTCTTTGGTAGTGGATAATGGGATGGCAGTTTCCTAGCACCCGTCCTTTCAAGAGGCTCATCCCCACTTGACTGGCTGACCCAGAAAGTTCACACGAGAAGCGTGGATTGGAGATCAGGATGAAGGCATCTTAGAATCTGTTAAGGGTCTGGGTGTGGTGGCTCATGCCTGTAATCCTGGCACTGTGGGAGGCTGAGGCAGGAGACTCACTTGAGTCCAGGAGTTCAGGCCTGGGCAACATAGTAAGACATCATCTCTACAAAGAAAAGGTTTTTTTTGTTTTTGTTTTTGTTTTTGTTTTTTGAGACGGAGTCTCGCTCTGTCGCCCAGGCTGGAGTGCAGTGGCGCGATCTCAGCTCACTGCAAGCTCCGCCTCCTGAAGCGATCCTACAAGGTTCACTTCCCCAATGCCATTCCGAACTCGACCTACAAGCCCTCCCGTCTAGCACTTTGGCCACGGTGAGCACAACACTTCAAGCCAACCAGCTGTAAGCCGCAAGCCACGAGCCCATTCTGGATTACAGGTGCCACACCACACCCTTTCGGCTAGTTTTTTATTTTAGTAGAGAACGCGGGGTTCCACCGAGGTGTTAGCCAACGAGGTTCGATCTCTGCACGCCTGGTATCCGCTCATCGACTCCGCTCCAAGACAGTCGGATTCACAGGCGTGAGCCCGCCGCCAAAAAAAAGTTTTTAAATACCCAGATTAGGTGGTCCTGAGTCCCAGGGAGCTACTGGGAGCGAGATGGAAGGATCAACCATGCACCTCAGGAGGTTGAGGCGTCAAGTGACTGATGGTGGCTGCTGGGACGCGGCCAGAGTGAACTGTGCAACAAGAACAACAAAAAGAAGACGTAAGAATCAATTCATACAATTGTTCGTCTGGTTTCTTTCCAGTTTGATTTTTGAGACAAGATCTTCCTGCGCACCTCAGGCTAGAGTCAGGGTTCACTCGCTCACATAGCCACACTCCATCCTGGGTCAAGCATTAGCAGTTCTGCCCTCAACCCTCCAGTACGGGGGGTTACGGGCACCCACCACCACAG